GGATAATACAAGATACTCAAGGAATGTACCTAGGTGCCCTCACGCCCTCGAGTGCGGGATTACAACTTTGCGGCCCGTGATTTCGAAGGCCCTGAGCTCGTCAATGACTTTGTTCACATTTTCCAATGGTTCGGAATGGACATGAGCCTGCACGGTTCCCTGTTAAAGCGATTAGGAAAGGCGGCTCGACGAAATCCCTCAGGGCATGCCTTTGCGAACAGATCCAAGGCTTCAACGAGGGCGCTCCGGGGGCCGTAGCTGCTCCCGTGGACTACAAGAGGTTAGCGAGCGTATTAGGCCATTTAGGAGATGCCGTACTTTGCACTCCAGATGCAATAATGTCGAGGGTGTTGAACACGAGATTATCAGCACTCGCGCCGACCTGGTTTTGTGTTAGTAGAGACATTTTGTTTTGCATTATAGGGGACCCCCAACGTACAAGAACCAATCTGGGGCTGCTAGGAAATTTGACCTCGTTCCCTCTCAGCGCAGCCATAGCAAGGTTGAAGGCTTGTAATAAGGGTGAGCTATGACACTGCGAAGAATGGGAGACAGCGCGTACTCTGAGTGTTGGCGATGAAGTCAATCGTGGTATCAACTGTGAACCCAGCGGTTGTCTTGTTCGTCAGTTCAATCAAATCGAAGGCTTCGGTAGCGCCGAGTTCCAAGGCAAATTTCCGAGCCGCAGGCTTGAAGTCACACGCATAAACTGAAGAATAGACGTGAGGAGGAAGCACAGGCAATGAAAACTTGGCTTACCGGTCGCACCAAAGTGCTTCGCGTATTGAACGGCGAGGTGACCGAGACCGCCAATACCAAAAATTAAGACCTTGTCGCCGTTCTTGACCTGCATAAAAGTCAGAAAAGTTCTTAGCCCAGGTCGAGAACATGGACCTTTGCTGAATGTTGAACGGCATGATAGGCAGTCACACCTGCATCGCTGGCGATGGCTGCGACCTCCGGAGGAACACCGGTCGGCTGAAATGGTGAGGTTGAGCCACACGAAGTTGGATAACACACGAGACTCACCACCGGGACAAGTGTTTCTTCAGTGGCGATAATATACTCAGCGTAAGAGCCGTCTTTCCCAATTCCTACAGCGTTGAACAGGGCGGAGGCGCTGGCCATTCCTTGCAGGCAGCTATCGACGAGGAAGATACAGTATAGTTTCTCTTTCTGAATGGCCTTGCCATCGACTTTGGCTCCCAGCCTATTAATTTCAGTACCTTCTCCAGGAGAGAATGAACAGCGCTCACTTGACGGGGAAGCCGCAGCCTTCATGGCCCATCACGTACTTCCTCTTATCCAGACTGACGCCGCTCAACAGGGCCACATCGGTATGGCATACCCCGGCGGCAACAACTTTGAGGAGGACCTCGTTGTCCGCCAGTTCGCGAATGGGGTAGTTCTTGTCGAGGACAAGACGCTCGTTCCCGGGTACATAGACGGCAGCAAGCATGGTGGTCGGTATCATACTGGATTTCAGATGCGATGCAGGTGAGTAGGATTTGTAGAGAGGGAACTCGACGGAACCCACATATTTATACTTTTAGTTTGCGGGCAGAAATACGGACGGATCAGCGGGCATGTTGGTTCTCCAAAACTCAGATGGTGATCCGTTCATCGGCGAGGGCGGGAAATGCAGTATTTGCCGAAAGTTGATATTAACGGGGACATTCGGAGAATGGAGAGGGTTTCAGGAGTCGAGGTGGAACAGAGCGCGTGCGGTCTGCCTGTGGATGATCCTGCCCGGGGACGGTGAATGAAAGAATGAATAAAGAACTTTCGTCCGCCGTGATCCATTCTTCAGACATCAACCCGAAGCTCAGCTTTCCTGTGAACGGAGCTTCACAGCACAACTGTGAAGTGTTACACCTTAATTGCCAAGGCTGACGATATACCGGCTTTGAACCGGCGTCTAAATTCACGGTGTGAACTCAATATGAACTCCGACATCACGATCACACAACACAACCACACACCATCGAATCCTACCACCATCATCTATGTTGCGCGTTCTCAAGTTTCCACCGCAAAACTCCGATACTCCGGTCGCCAGCTTTTCTTAGCATAGCGGCTCAAAGGCTGGACTACCTCCCCCGTCTGGAAAGGCCAAGATTGACCCTGGATGAACTGGCGTCTTTCCCACCCTAACGACAACCCTCTTATCGTTTGACCAAATAAACCTGTCTTTGGGTCAAGCTTGACGAGATCTTTTGGCGGCGTACGTCTCGGCAGTCTATCACGTTTTTCGAGGTGCCTTGTGACGAGAAACAAGCGCTGCGTTCCTTGAGTTTGCTCTCTCTTGCGCATTTGCGTGGCCTCCCGCAAGCAACAGCCATGGGCTCTGATGGAGGTTGGTGCACACTCCCACTTGGGCCTTTACTCTGTGATAACTCTTATCGACAGCGTTCGATTTCGATCCACGACGGCTATACGATCATGGCGGAGTACCAGGAGCGCGACCTACCCACGAGGCCTCAAATCTTGAGTCTTGATCATCGCCTCTGGTCCTGCAGGATACAATATTACTCTGGCATCCCTCTCTAGAAGGATCCATTCCGCAGCTGCTGTGCTCCCATAGTGGCCCCAGTACCTCGTTCAATGAGAAGTTTAAGAACCCGCTAACTCCCAAGTGCATTACATTCTCGCCGGAAAGCCCTACAGACTCCCGACAAGACATCTCCCGATGGAATCCGCCACTATTAGGCATCCTCCCGGTGTCGCTCTTCGCCGTTCTCTTGGTTCTTCTAATGGGGGGGCTCGAGATGCTGAATCGTCATGTATGTCGATAAAACTCCTTTGGCGTATAGACATCCTACTGACAATACTGCTCCCAGTCTCCATACAGCGCCCCGTTCTCCAGCATGCAGTTCTTTTGGACCTACTTCCCTGTCGTGATCTTGATGGTGGTGGAGTGGACCTGGGTGGCGTACGATCAGAGTGCTCGTTCCGTGGACATCCATGTCGCGAGGATCCACCCCCGCGAAGCAGGGCTGGCTTCTCGACTACGCCGGCGCGAACTATTTTCTCTCCATATGGACCGCCATCAAGTACCGCCACATCGTCGTTCTGGTCGCCAAGCTCGGGCTCTGAAGTACCGCCATTGCGGGAATTGTTACGACCTCCCTGTTCCAGATTCAGGACGTATCCATACGTCACCAAGTGCTTTCGCTCGAACAACAACTCTGGATCCCTCGTCGTTCGCGCCCAGCGTTCTTGCGGACACGGAATATCTTAACTCTTTTCTTGGTCGGCAAGTGCTATCGCTTTCACCCCCGCGATGGACGATATCAGACAATATTGTAATGGAGCTATCCCCCGATCTAAACTGTACGGCCGCAGCTGTATCTTACGGGGAACATTACGATCTCCGGCATCGATCCAGATATTCCCCAATGTGTTCGCCTTCCTTATTAACGTCGTTGGAGCAGAATGCTCAGCGAATACACCCTCACCGACACGAACACGGGTGACATTCTCGGTGACGGTGCGTTCAAATATTACTCTGGCATCCCTCTCTAGAAGGATCCATTCCGCAGCTGCTGTGCTCGCATAGTGGCCCCAGTACCTCGTTCAATGAGAAGTTTAAGAACCCGCTAACTCCCAAGTGCATTACATTCTCGCCGGAAAGCCCTACAGACTCCTGACAAGACATCTCCCGATGGAATCCGCCACTATTAGGCATCCTGCCGGTGTCGCTCTTCGCCATTCTCTTGGTTCTTCTAATAGTGGGGCTCGAGATGCTGAATCGTCATGTATGTCGATAAAACTCCTTCGGCGTATAGAAATCCTGCTGACAATAATGCTCCCAGTCTCCATACAACGCCCCATTCTCCAGCATGCAGTTCTTTTGGACCTATTTCCCTGTCGCGGTCTTGATGGTGGTGGAGTGGATCTGGGTGGCGTACGATCTTCGAGTCAAAGTGCTGGTTCCGTGGGCATCCATGTCGCGAGGATTCACCCCCGCGAAGCAGGGCTGGCTTCTTGACTACGTCGGTGCGAACTATTTTCTCTCAGTATGGACCGCCATCAAGTACCGCCACATCGTCGTTCTCTCTATCGTCCTGCTTGGTCCCAGAACGAATCCTGCTCTGGGCTCTACGTTGTGGTCTCGCACTGCGTACCGCCCACTGGTCCCACGGCACACTGGATTGAATCTGCGGGAATCTGGAATCTGGATTCTCTTGCGCTCGACGAGTCGATTCTCAAACCTCCTTGAATAGCTGCAAAATCATGCTCAGGTTTGATTACGACATCCTGTAATCTGGACTCTCTGCGCAACGCTCGACTCGCATTCCCGAATCTCCACTGGTTGCTACATATCCAGTGACACAAACGGCTCGACACCACCAATATACTACCGGCTCGATGGCGAGAGGTCTGCGTCTGCAATTCATACATATGTGGTCAATATGAATATACCACAGAAGGTCCCCCGTTCGACTCGGGATCGAGCCATATATTGGCAGGTCGATGTCTTTTTGTCCTGCGGAGGTCGCCTTTCATTCGTTCCTTCTTAACCCTCGACCGACCCCTCAACCTACTTTATTTGCAGGAGGGAGATGGACCCATGTTGCGCATGTCAACCGCCTTTGGTCCTGGTGCGGTTTTTTTCTCCTTTTTTTGCAGCTTGCTTAGCTGACTTGGATCAAGCAGCCAGACGCCCCACAAGTGCGCAACGTCGCTATCGGCTCAATGGTGGACGGTCCGAGACGTTGCGCAGAAGATCCCCGTTCGACTCGGGGTCGAGTTAGGAATGTCTCTGCACCCCTTTTTGGTCGCGCGTTCCTTTTCCTTGGCGCGTGAGGTATCTCTATCACCGATACGCATCGAAGAATTTCACCTAGGGATGTCAGCCTCCTCTCGACTAGTATCGGCTCGATGGCGTCCACTCGGGACCGTTGGGAAGTTTCGTTTCCTCACTCGTTCCTTGTACCTCGCTTAAATTATCTCTTTTGCAGGAGCTTCTCGATGAGGGACAAATCCTCGCTGCTACCGGCTCGGTGGCGAACGGTCCGCGTCTGCATTGAGTGGTTCTATCCGGCAATATTCTACGGTCACGCAGAAGTTCCCTGTTCGACTCGGGGTCGAGCCATAGATCTGCCAGGACAGGGTTCTTTTTCCTTTCATTCCATCTTACCCGGATCGCATATATCCCGGTAATTCTACTCCCGCATTCGCGCTCATTATCCGTCCTCCAATTCCCCAACTTGAGCCCGGTTCTTGCGACAAGTTTAATGCCATACTATTGAAGCACCTCACACGGGAAATATGGGCTCGACGGCGGACGGTCCGCGTCTGCAGTGCATAACGTATTGCTCTCATGCAATGCAAGAAAGGTTCAATGCAGCGGCCATCGGTGCCTTCCTTTCCCCCACTGATCCCCAACGCAATTACTGAACCTCACGAGGCACTCTTCGCCGTTTAGAACGGCTCAATGGCGGACGGCCCGCGTCTGCACTGCCAGTCTGCTTTTCCCATTCCAAGCCAGAAGATCCTCGTTCGACTCGGGGTTGATCCACTATAAACCCAGTGCAGGTTTTTAGTCGCACGTTCTTTTCCGCAGCAGCCGAAGTTCGTCCTCTATTGTCCGGTCCCCCCGCTTAGCTAACTGAATTGATCTACAGGAGAGCTTCAACCGGATGTCTGCAATGTAGTTAATGAATTCAAGGAGGTCCAGTCCTAACAAGTACCGGCTCGATGGCGTACGGTCCGCGCCGGTACCGAATTTGCATTCCAGATATTTCACTCTCGTTCGACTCGGGGTTGAGGCGTCAGCTGTGCCCACTGCCCATCCATTTTTGGCTCGGCCTCTCTTTACCCCATTCAGCATTCTGGACAGCTTCTCTCCGAGTATCGGTTCAATCCCCAAGGATCGGTGATCGGCTTTGTGCGCGTGCGATTCATTCTCTTTTCCATCTTCAAACTTCACCCCGGTCCCTGCGAGAATATTCAGCAACATATCCGAGGACCTCACACACCGAATACTGGCTCGATAGCGGGCGGTCCGCGTCTGCATCGAATTAGGCCGTTACATTTCGGATTCGCAGCAGGAGACCCGTTTGATTCGGTATCAAACTATTTGGGTTTGCTTCGGAACCTTTTTGCGTCGTATTTCCATTCTGGTCCTCTGCGTTTCAAGTATCTATCTTTACGAGCTCAGCCTCACGCTGAAACGGTGCAGTGGCGTGCAGCCGTGAAATCTAATGCTAAATGAGTAAGACCTCAGTCTTAACTCAACCCAACACCAAACTCCAACAACTAACAACAACCAACTCCTGCTTTATCGTATTTATGTTCGAGGGGGTAGGTCAGGCGTATCGACCGTCAATTTCAATAGTGTGACACTGGTTTGCTTTGGAAAGGTCCTCAGAAGGGCTTTCAACAGGTTTAACAGCCTTTCGGCAACAGGTGTAGATATTCTACTAGTGGTGCACAAAACCGCAATTAAATTGGGATTTTGGCGAAGGACAGCACCGCTGGGTAGCTGACTGATTTTACAAGTGGCGGAGGGGCAACTCAAGACGTTCCGTACGCCAGGAGATGGTTCCGCCAAATGGTAAGGTTTTTCCTGGAGCTCAAGATAATTCCTTTGTGTGTGGCGCGACTACAGAGTAGTGGCGCAAGCCGAATGGCGTGGGTTCCGATGGCGCAGAGCAACTCAATGACGTTCCGTACGCCACCAGCTGGTTTCCACCACACAGAGACCCAAACAGTAACGGCTTTTATGGGAGGTCGTGGTCCCAACCTCAGTGTTTTGAATCAACCACGATTGTCAATGAACAGCGCGGCTATGAATAGCTCTGCAACTGGACAAGATGGATGCCGATGGCGCAGAGCAACTCAAGGACGTTCCGTACGCCGATAGTTGGTTTCCGCCACACAGCAACCCCGATAGGAATGGACTTTGGCGTATGAACAGCGCGGCTACAAATAGCTTTGCGACTGAACAAAGTGGCGGGGGCCGAAGACGGAGGGACAACTCAGGCTTACGCCAAGGGAGTGTGTGCGTCAAACGGGATAAGGACCAGAGGCCTTATAAGCTGCTAAGAGCTAGGTGCCATTAAGGGGGGAGTTATTCACTGTCTAACTACTAATTTACATGCGGCTTTTATACTATGAGAGGGATTGATCCCAACTAACTAAGAGAATGATAAGCGGTCTTTACAAAATGATGAACTGATCTGAAGCGAGATATATCCTGGTAGTTGGGCAGACTTAGAGGTGTCTGCCCGGGTATTATTTGATGGTGTGGCCGCCAATCACCCGCAAGTTCTGTTTAAGCCACCTCTGCTTACAATCTCCTCGCGTAGACTCGGTTAGGAGCGTCCGCAGTCCTCCGCAGTCTGATTAGTTGATGGGCTGACTGAGCCTTTTATTATCTCTTGGCACCCAAGTTCAGTGACCACCAACTGCTTTTGGATGAAGTCATGTGATTGCTTTAGGGCCGGTCTATTACAGGTGGCGTAGCCTCTGCGCCAAGTTCAAGTGGCGTGCTCGCACATTATATCTTTTTACAGTTGTGGCGTGACTTCATTTGGCGTAACTTCGGACTGGCGCAGACTTGAGCATTGTCATGTGACATAACTGGTTTATTTCTCCCCTCCGCCATTATTCCATTGGCGGGCACATCTTTTTGAGTTCAACTCGCAAGCCGAATACTATTATTCTAGTGGCACATGTAGCACTTTGTAGGTTCCAAATCAAATAGCTTTCTTGTTATCCTTCCAATGTCCCTTGGTTGCCTCGTGCCCATATTGACATCGAGCTTACTGCACAAAAGTACAGCTTGCCGGATGAGTCCTATGGCTAGCCAGTGGGGTTGAGTCCGAGTCGCAATCTCTAGCTTTGTATGAAAGCCGCAATGGCATCCTCGGTCTCCTTGGTTTATCACTAGTTTGCAGCACTGCTAACGGCTTTTAGTGCTCAGTTCCGGGAATGTAGCTAGCACCCTGTGTGTCTTACGCCTCCCCGCCATAAGGCTGGAAACATGCAAAAGCAGTAATTTCAGGGGTGCACGGATGCACACCCTATCAACGCATCCAGCTCTTCAAGTCCTCCTCTTATTTCCCAGCAGCGGAGCACCTCGTGAGGTACGCTCCCCAGGGAATACCGGCTCGATAGCGGAGGGTCCGCGTCTGCCCCGGATAGAACTATAATTTGCACTGAATTCACAACAGGAGGGCCGTTCGACTCGGGGTCGAGCCATCAGTTATACCCATCCATTTTTGACTCGCTCTCTCTTTGCCTCATCCATCACACTTAATAAATTCGCTCGGGGTATCTTGCGGATCCAGATGCACTGTATTTCTTCTTCGACTTGACTGCAACTAAGACCAGTTACTAACGAAATATACAGAGCACACGCATAGACCACGTCAGTGTGGTTAATAATAAGTTCAGAAGATACAGGGGTTGGGACATCAAGGACTACCCCGTCAAAAGTGACCAGACTTGTCATCGCCCAACTAAGATGTACGCCAGGCGAGGAACCGGGTAATGGAAGGTGGAGTATGCCTCTGTACATCCCAAAATCCACCAAATTCATGAAACGAGTCCAGGCTCTGGGAAAACAGCCGGTTCAAGATGTTGAACACCTACAAGGCTCAGAACACAACCCAAATGAGAATATACAAACACTGTGGGCAAAATTCAAGACTGATATAACGGATCACCGCAAATACTGTTCACGCTTCATCACGAATGAGACTACCCAGGAAATTCGAACCTGGAAAACCCAGTTAAGTGATGGGTTACACGATGACGAGATGCCGGCGAAAGATAGATCTGTGGCTGCATACCTCCTTGAGAAAAAAATCACTGACCGCGTGAGAGAGGAGGCCGAAAACAATAGATCACACGGTATGATGTTGAAGGTGAGACGTTACGAACCACCTCCTGGACTCAGTCTGCCAAAAAATACCATCCAAAAGGTTAGATGATCCCCGTTGTGGGTGCGGTGTCGGAAGCGAAGTCGTCATCTCCACACCACGGTATCATTATTTGCGAGATTTGAAGCAGCGATACCTCGGGTGCGCACCTTGACTCTGTAGGCCTCGTCGCGGCTTAGATGACATGTCAGGAGGCCAGCGATGGTGGATGCGGTGGTTATTTTCATGATTAACGATGGGCTCCTCAGTTGTCAGTTTCTTCTTTTCGAGCGTCGACTCAAGCTCACTGCACGCGTATTGACAATGCTGCTCCCAGTTGCACTCGTTCCAGGAGTAATAGGCTGCGTCATCGTTGCAGTCTCTAATCCGGAGAAATTCTGTCTTTTGACTCCAATCTAGTACCTGAAGATGAAGGACAACTACGTGTGGTTTGGCGTTTTCTTCGTGGTACCTACACTGGCTTCACTGGCTTAGACTTTCGTTCCCACTCCCGATCTGATTGAGCAAATCCAAGCTTGTTCAACTCCAACATCCCACATCATGCCCCGTTAAACATAAACGTTCCGGAATTCCGAGGGAGCTTGCACTCCGATTTAACTGAGCTGCAATTTGAATAATCTATGTTCAATCCAACCGAAATACTCCGAAATTCCGAGATGGATAGAAGACGCTGTAGACCCGCAAGGCTATCCGTGGAGGGTGACCTCAGTTTGACGAGTTCATAAGCATGATTCGGGATGCAATACATGAATAGCGGCACTGGCTCGGGCTGAGCACCGAAACAAAGAAGGAATGAGCAGGATAAGTCCAATGATCTCCACATCTCAGTTCCAGATTTTCGCTGGGTGCGGAATCAACATTTTTTGAATCCCATTTCTCGGCATATTTGCGTGTATTCCGAGAAACAATAAAATCAAAATTCCAAGTTCACATTCTATAAAAACCGAGTCGAAAAGAGAAACGCGTGCAAAAACCATTTAGTTGTCGGGAGGCCCGAACGGCAGCAGCGGCTGGTCGCACGGAGGTCCCGACACAGCCGCAGAGACAATACTCGACAAGAAATCCACATTCTGCTTGAAAATACCTGTGGTGTTCGCAAGACCGCCGGGCATGTTCGCGAAGAGATCGTAGTAGAATCCACATCCCTGATACACGATACACAATTCAGCAACTGGGCCGGAAAAGGGCAAGTTGAGGCTTACAG